ATGATTACATGAGTTGATGTGAATGTAAGTGTATATGGTTAAAATCATATATTGGTCAGTGACAAATAAAATATAACAGGAGAAATAAACCCTAGATGCAAAAAGGAGACAAAATAACAAAATGGAAATATACATTAATATAAAAAAAAATATTGAGAGACTAGTTTCCTGCTAAGAGTATTGTCTATCATTTACCTTCTTCTATTGCTGGGGAGAAATTTCTGATATATAACATGTAATGTTATGGAAAGTCTGGGGGTTTTTGGTAGTCTTTATTTAAAAAATAACTGAGCAGCCTAATTCTTTGTCTTCTTCTCCCAATGTACTTATTAAAAGTGACAAAAGATACCAACTTCAGGCTCCTTGGAAACAAAATCTTAAATTACCAGATGTTAGGATAAGACTTAGAATTGATCCAAAAGTCCTCTCAACTTTTCTGCAAAAATGGGACTTCAAAATGTTCAAAGGGATGTGAAGCTATCTGTGGCATGTCATGTTTCACATCTCATGTCCAGGTCCCCCAAATGCATGACTGCTGTTTGCACCATCCAAAAGGATGGAGACGAGACTCTTTTTCATATAGTCAACTGGGTGGCTATATAGTGACATAAGAGGAAACAAAAGCAAAAGCAAACAAAACTAATTTAATGGTATTGTAATTTCAGTGATGCCCATAAATGAAAATAAAAGAATGTACCTAAGCAACAACCCAGGTAACTGGAAAATGAATTCATATTTTTGTTCCTTTCTTTCTGAGAGCAGAGAAAATTCTAGCCCAAATAATGTAACCTGAATTTAACTCTGAGAGTTTGGCTTAGCATCCTGTGTTAATGAATCCAATTTAGTTTATTCAACAAACTACAGATAAATAAAGCTTAGTGCAATGTAGAATTCAGCCATCATTTCAGTAATTTGTGCTATTGATTTATTTTATAAGGTTATGCTATTTTTCCTAGAGCTAAGATATAGCAGTTTGTATACATATAGTCATACAAATAAAGAAAAGGCAAAATTTTAACTAGAGACATTATTTCCTGTGCCAGTGCATCTTGACTGTTAAAAAAAAACCAATTAAAATATTAAGGAGCAATTACAGATGATATCTGAAGTTTTAAAACAAGCCAAATCCATGTCAACCCCTTTATGGCTCCACATGCAATATGATTCATTTGGGTTTGGCTTAGCTTGCCATGTGGACAGTTATGGTTTAGTGCTTCATGTATTGTAAGAATCCAGTTAATACGTGCAAGGTACATTAGTCACTATACAGTGCTAAATATTATTTGGTATTTGAATCTAAAATATTAGTCCTTAAGTAGAATAAAATGCTTTGTATTCATGCTTAAGAGGATTTGAACAACACAAAACTATTCTTTCAGCATACATGATTTGTAGCCAGATCCACAGTCTCAGCAAGGAATATTCCTAAAAAATGAGAAATTAAGATAACAGAAGAGATGTCACAACACCACCAATGGGAGAACAATGAAGTTTGATCAAATTCTCTGGTACCTTTGAATACTAATTACTATGTCAAATTTTATTAAAATTCAGGAATAATTAATTTTCTACACAGTGCTTTAATTTTTGGATTCAAAAAAAGTATGTAACAAAATTAATTTACCCCTTCCCAATTTTTGTTTTATATCGTACCACTACTGAAAGATCCACTGATGCACAAATCAAATAAATACCCACAGACCTCAGAACATATACTTCATTTCTCCCAGTGCAATCATTTAAACATAATAAAAGTCACTATCATGATTTATCAAGCTCCAATTTCTTTTGCTATATACCAAAAAGTCTGTTGAAGTCTGTTAAAGTGAGTAAAACACTTCCAAAAGAGGCAACACAAGAGACAGAAATAAATTAGTGGCAGTAACAAACTGAAACCTCTTTAGAAAAAAATCACAACAGATATTAAAAAAAATCATTTCTACAATGAGTCAGTTACACATCTACTCGCACACTTTAACAAAGTCAGAACGTTTCAATCAACATAATGGAAAGCAATGGGCAGCAACTACATATACCCCAAAGTAAGGAAATTGTAGCGTGAAAGTGTTGAAAAATTATTCTGTCAATTCCTAGGCAGCGAAGCCAAGAAGCAAACATGTGGCTGTGTTCCAGAATAGCAAAACAATTGTCCTACTAAAGCCTCATTTTAAAAAAACACCATAATAACCACAATGATCCAAGTGCAGATTTAGGCACATTTATGCTCATTGATTTCAGTGGCCATAAATCTGTATTGCATTAACTTGGCAAATACATTATATAGCCTCTTTATAATTTTATGGAATAAAATCTATATTTAGCCCCAAATTTTCTAATGTCAGTAGTGCAATTTTTAAGGCTAACGAAGTATCCCAACTGAAACAGCTTCTAGTCTCCATTCTAAAATCATCAAAAGTAGCTCACAATACAAACTTGGGTCCAAAAAACATACCAGATATTAATTAATAATTATGTACAGTAAAATATTGTTCCTTCTTTCACAAGTTATATTACAGATCTGCCAAACCTGCCCTACCAATTAAACTTCACATCATTCAAACAGAGTGTTTTCTTTGTAGACTTAAAGAACTCAGTACATTATTAGAATTATACTGTTCTTAAGACTAGGGGAGGAGTTTTCAAACTCTGGGATTTCATAATCCCGACAGGATAAATGAGGTTGTACATTTTCCCCCTGCCTCACCCCAGCCCCATGCATAAAACTAATGATTTTATTGAGGTTAGGGTTGGGCTAGAAATGACTTAATATCATTTACTTTTAATAATTGTAACTGTGTATCAAATAAAACCATGGTAAAGCTTACAATGCTATAAAATAAAATTTGTTTCACTGGCAGTAACAAAAAAAATCAAATTTAAAAGCATATTTTTAATAAGAATGAGCTTACTTACTTCTGCATTGTAACTAGAATACAATGTTCCTGCAGGTGCAGTTACCATGTTTTCATATTTTTTAAAAAATGTCATCACTGACACAGTCTTTATTAACTCTTGAGAGAGAAGTCAAACACAAGCAATGACTGACTCAGTGTTGAATTTTGAATAGGATGGAACGGGAAAATCTGATTGATTTTATTATTTCCCCTCCCCCCTCCTCCTCCTTTACTGAGCATAATTATTTTCACTCACCAAATTCAGGGAAAAAATAGGAAAGGTTCTCTTAAACTACTATTAAAATGTTGCAGCTTGCAGAACATTGGCAGGCTGTAAATTGTCGTCTCACTCTCCCAGAATTACAGTATTTTCCTTGGTACTGCTACCTGTAAATCCCTCCCCCACTCTTGCTATTTCCTCTTCCTACAGCCTCACAACTCCCTCCTTCTTCCATTCCACAGTAATTCCCTCTACAGAGTGAGAATCAAGTCAGATGGTCAGAGATTTGCAAAGGAATCTTGTGCCATCAGGGAATGATTATTCCTCCTCTGAAAGACAAGTATAATGTACAATGTAATATCCTTCCCCCCCCAAAAAAAGAACATTTAGACTCCACACAGGAGTCTAGAAAAATCTCATTGCTTTGCATTCAGCATAGTTTTATAACAAAGGGGTAAGCCTGCTCCAGAGGATATGTGTTGAAGTTACTCTTTCACAACTTCCCATCCGTTGTCTTACAACCCCCTAAGGACTGTGACCCACTTGTGACCCATACTTAAGCTACAATATTCACAGTACTTTGATAGGGAAAACTATATGTATTTATTTTTATTTTCAATATACAATTTTAATAAAAATGAAGCTCAGTGAAAACTTAATTCAAAGACAAGTGATCTGCATAAAGCATTCAGATACATCTAATAGCAGTAAACCATTGTCACTGACTCTATACAACGCTGTGTATTGTATCTGTTGAAAATAAAAGAAAATTTTAAACAGAAATCTCTTCTAAAATGTGTTTTGCAATATGGCATCAAAATATTCGTCATTTATAATCCTTGTTCTATTTTACCTTGCATTTTACAACTATGTAAGCTACTGTCAATATCTTAAGCATTCAGCAGTATTACAGAAGAACATAACTAGTTTCAAAATTGCAATAACAGCTCACTTGAGATTTTATTACATTTGTAGCTATACAAAAAGGAAAGCATTATATAAATAAAAAAGAACCTAAAGAGCAAAATCAGACTTCTGCATTTATTAGATGTAAGTCTAATGTCTTTCAGATAAAATATTTGTAGGTGCCATAGTCAATCAAGTATTCATGGATTCCAAAGATGAAAGCATTCATGCATAAAAGGCAATGTGATAATTATGATCGGCAGACAAGATAATGGAAAAAAATCCTAGCCCTCCTTTAATTTTATGTATCAAGTACTGGCTTGACCTAGATAACCTGCAATGCTTCACCACATTTACTGCATTATTTTAGCATTTTAATTATTTAGGAAAATTCAATTAATTCAGTAGGCATCTGTTAAGCAGGTCCAACTTTGTTGCACCTCACAGCTTTTTTTCAATTGCTGCAATTCTGGGCTACATTTTTAATATAAATATGTAATTAAGCTTAAAATCTATTCACTCTGCAAGTTTATTAACCTTTGCTGATTATGCAAATTGTAGCTGCGAGGCTGTTATGACATTTTCATAATTTAAAAAAAGCTTGTTTTTAAATTTTTATTGTAATCTTTGTGGCTGGAGACCACAGGATGAAAATCATGTACATATCTCTTTCCTAAATTCTATTAGTAACAAAACAGAATTACCAAAGAACAAAAATGAAAGTTAGAAGAAACAGTACAAATGAAAAATATAAAGGGTTGAATTTAAACAATACAGCTTGCTAAAATCTTAACTTTTCCAAACCGAGTGCTATTCCAATAAACTGGACTACAAATCCCATCTTCTACCCAAAAATTACACATAAACTTTTGTATGAAAAGAAGCGCAAATAGCAGTCTCAAGGCATTGCCTCTTAAGAAGAGATCTTTAAACTGCTTTTTAAATATGAAAGATTTCTTTAAAAAAAAAAACAGCCCTACCTTGAGCAAGTCGTTCAAGTCGCTTTCCATGCTCTGGAGGAATAGCATACCTAAATTTATATAAGGGGAAAATACATATTAATTTAGAGTTACTGTTAACCTATAAGAATTTTTTTTTAACTATACAGACTATATGCTAACACAGAACACAAAAATATTTAGTTTTCTATTTTAATGATATTCCTCTTTCTAAAATAAAATTCAAAGAGGCTAATTACAAGAGGATTTTTTAAAATAATATTTATTTATTTATTTGATTTATAGTTATAAAATAATGAATATATAAAATCTGAACCAAAAATTAATATAAAAGCAGCTGCCAAGTAAATAAAATATATTTCATCAGCATAGAATTCTGTCCATCATACAGATACTAAAATTAGGTATTAATTCAGTGGTAGAAGAAGTTTCCTAACATCAGCGCCACTTCTGAAAGGGCCCTGCTGTTCATGCTCATCTACCATATCTCAATTGATAAAAAACTGCAACTGGTGTCCAAAATACATATTCCTCAAAATACCCAAGTCCCAAATTGTTATGGGCTCACAGGTAAGCCAAGTAAAATGTATGGACAGAATATGATATATGCATGAAAGTAATTTCATTTAAACCAAAGTAACAATAAAAGTGGTTTATTGTTATGAAGTGTTTTCGAAAATCATACAAACAGGATACCAAATATTTCTATGCAATTCTTAAATGGATTTTTTTTTGGTCCAAATATGTGCACACTTACAACATGCTGCATTTTTTGTAAATTCCCCACAGTTTTTGTCTCAGCTTGCATAAGATGCTATTCCTGAGTGTGTATTTCAGACATTTCATTCTTATTTTCAAGAAAGTGCTTTTCGTTAATTAAAAAATGCATATTCCATGACATGTAGAAATTAGTATATGTAGGTAACAGCATCAGGGACAGGGAAAAACTTAAGTTATCCTTTGATATTCATATTTTTTATTTCTGAAATACAGTTTACCAATAAGTAAATATGTACCGTATTTTTCCATCTATAAGATGCCCCCATGTATAAGATGACCCCCACTTTTTCAACCCAAAATTAAGAAATCAATATTTTAAAGATAAAGCAGAACACA